TATAGGTTCATTTTCTAAACAACCAAACTTAACTATAATTAGGCAGACTAAAAAGATGATTAACATATATGAATAGAATTTATTGGAGGGATAATAATTGACAATATGTTGTACAATCATTCTACTTAAGGTGTACCAGTAACCATATGATAATTAACAATATGTTTAATTTATTATATAATTACACTGTGTAAAAGATCCCTCGAATCTTAATATATTTCATGCAGCTTCCAGGAAGGAGAAGGCCTTCATGAATGAAAGGTTGCAAGAAACTCACCACAAAAACCCAATATTCATTTTTTTTTTTTTTTTTTTACTTCTTAGCTTCAACTTCACTGATCTTTCCGCGAAGATCCCTGCTGTTCCTTCCAAATAATTCACTTTATATAAACCCCCCTCTCCCTCCTCTCCTCGCATCACAAATTCACATCTTCTATTCACGTATATAGCCATTAACATTCAATTCTAACTCTTCAACCTGTTCTGCATAATTAAGAGTTTATTATTTGACGAGAATGGCGTTTTTATTAGATGAAGTAGCCGATTTCGAGGACTTCTTTCCATCGATGATAACGCGACTAGGAACAGAAGGGTTTATCTGCGAGCTGTGCAACGGGTTTCGTTTGTTGATGGATTGTGAGAAGGGTTTGATTACGTTCGAAAGCTTGAAGAGGAACAGCTATCTTCTGGGTTTAAACGACATGATGGATGATGAGATTGTGTGCATGTTGAGTGAAGGTGATCTTGATGGAGATGGAGCGCTTAATCAAATGGAGTTTTGTATTTTGATGGTTAGGTTAAGTCCAGGGTTAATGGAAGGTTCGCCTCAATGGATGATGGAAGATTTGTATGTGTAAAATTTAAAAATTGGGCATGCCTTTGTTTAATTATAATTTCAAAATTACAAAGTAATCAATGCTTTTAATATTGAAATTATATATTCAGAAATTATGTTGGGCATATTCAAGATGTTGTTCTCGTTGCAGCTTTTAATGATTCATGACCTAAATCAATAAAAAATTCATGCATGTTTGTATATATTCTTGAATCATTTCTGGTAGTGTTTGTGTAGAGGCAAAATTTGCTTTGTGTCGCACAAAAGCTCGTCGGAGATGGTTGAATTTCTGGTAGTGTTTTGTGTAGAGGCAAAATCTGGGTTAGGCATTGTTATAGTTGATAGGCTGAATTAGCAAGATGAACAAGTATAGAAATTACCAAAGAAAACCGTCTGAACACTGCGTATTATAGTGTAACACTTTAGTGTAAAAGGAGAGATAAAAGTTAAAAGGGATTGTTTTAAGTAAAAAGAGAGTTAAAAGTTGCCTTTTTTCCATTAATTTGAATGACACTGCTTCTGCGGTTTTACAGTATGAAATTTCACAGACCATGAATTGTATATAATATCAATGTTAATTTAATTAACTTATGTATTATTATCACTGTTTTAAAATTAGGTCCGGCTGGCCGATTCAACCGGTCGGACTGGGAATTGGGGCCTTCTTTGGGTCGATGAAACTTGAAAACCCTTTTAGCATTTAATCCAGTTTAGCATTTAATCCAGTTTAGCCTTTAGTTAGACTAAGGAAACAATAGTGAACCGCAGATTCAACCAGTCAGGTGTCAAAATCAAGTCACAAAATTAAAATCCATTACCTGATTGCGGACCACTTTTCGGCACCCCCTACCCCCTCCCACTCACCGCCCACCCTCACTTGACCGTCGTGCCCCTCGCTCCAGCCGCAGCAAGCCCCATTTATTTACATCATTTTGCATGCATGCAATTGATATTATTGGAAGCAATTATAAGTTTAAAACTTAAATTAACTTGCAGAGTAACATAGATTTTTCGCATTAATTAATTAGATAAATAATCTGAGAAAAATAACAAAACCACATCCATATGATAAACGTTCATATATATAATTAGTCTTTTCTGTGTTGTTAAGTTAATTTCTGCTAACTAATTATGAGCTTTGAAAGATTTTCCTTGAGCATCACAGCCTAATTAGGCATCGGAAAGCTACTTTTACCTACCAATTAACTTTGTGAAATAGTTTTTAAAAACGCTGATTTTGACAGATGGAACTTATTTTTTATACACCAAACTCGCCTATTAATGTGAAAATGATTTGGATGAACGAATTCAAAAGGTCAAAGTAATGTCAAGTGCGGTAAGATAGAATATTTTGTCCCTTTCTCATATCTCCAACAAATATTATATCATGTACAACACTCGGGTCCTCTCGCTCACTCTAAGGGACCATATTTGGGCCCCTTAGGGAGTTCCACAATGGGCCATGAATTCGTAGACTTGAACTCAACGAAATTGGGCCTCTGGCTTACTTATGAAATGACTCTTTGGAACGAGATGAGTGCTTATAATAATTACAACAGTTTAGTAATTTTCTCTCGTTAAATTATCACGTGACCTAAAAGTTTAAGCTCTTACGTAATGGCTTTACATATATATATAGTCCAATAAGTCGTGGCATAAAACTTTGATTTATTATTTTATCTAATTAAAATATAGAGATTTGAACTTGAACCTTTGACTAAGATATCATGTTAAACTTCATTAGATAATATTTGTCCAAACATACTAGCTTATAATTTCGTTAATGTTTTTAGGATTAATTTAATAAAATATAAAATGTTACGTGTTAATTAAATGAGAAAAACTCTAGTAACCCAATTTGTGTAGTAATAGTAAGGAAAAGTTTATTTCAAAGGTGAAATGACATTTTATATGCCTGAAAGCATAATTGTATTTGGTAAAATATTAAAATGTGGGGGAGAAATTATATATATATAAAGTACATTTATTAAGAGATGAGAGTTTTAATCGCTTATATAACACAAGGACATCATCATTATCCAAAAACATATTTTTAAAGATAAAACTGTATGAAAGGCAAACCGTGCAAGCCTTGAATATTCTTGGACTAATAGAATAATAATATGGTAAATCCATTCATATAAATTTAAAAAAATAATAATAATAATAATATTTCCTCGTGCAATCCCTTGAATTTGGACTCATTATTTATATGGTCAATCAAAATCCAATAGTTGAAACTAGAAAATGTTTGCTCGCTATCAAAGTACGACCCTTTTTACTCACAGTGTCTAACACTAGTCCAAACCGCAACAAGGAAGGCGACAAAACGACAATACTGAATAGCCGGTAGCACTGGCCTAAGCCAAAGCCAAATTGTGGACCTCACAATAATCACATTACTCATCACATCACTCTACACGTCACTTTTCTCTCAGTCCCCCAAACTCGATACTCATTCCGTCTTTCGTTCATTCACATTTATTTTAAAACACGCTGTAGCTGTCTGTCTCTCAGTCTTCATACAAAGAACCTTATATCTTCTTCCTCCTCCACACACTCTCCCTCTCTCTCCTCACTTATTGTCACAATTGTGGTGGCTCCTGTTTCCCTCGTACCACTGCTTGCCACCTCGGATCTCTTCACGTGGGCTTCTGCCACCTCACCCTCCCATCCCCCACCCCGTCCCCGGGCCACTAGGGCTTCTGCTTAACTCAATTATGAAGAGGAACAATATATAATTTCAAATTGGTCATGGGTGAACCACCACCACGAACCAGCTCCATCGAATCTCTTTCTGCCCATACGTTTTTCGGGGCCCATCCTTTTCATACCTTTTTTTTTTTTTTAAATATTGTACTTGTTTTTTTATATGTGGATAACGTTACGTTAAAGTTATTCCATTAGAATATTATTCCCAAAAAATAAAATTATTGTTTAATTGGAAATGACAACTGTTTGATTGTCTTCGATTTATTTCATATTTTAATATCAATCAATACTCGCATTTATATATTACATAGTTTTGTTAATAATGTGTGTCACTTATTATAACTTATCATTTAAATGTTACTACTATATATAAGTGATACATTTTTTAGAATGAAAATTTAAAAAAAAAAATTACCTTTTTACTTGTAACATTATCCGTATTCAACGAATATTTAAAAGATCCAATAAATTTATATTCACTTCATTGTTAAGAAACAAATATTAATGGTATATAAGATTCTATAAAGGAAGAAATTTTTGGTTGGTAGGCAAAGTATCATGTATTTTAGTCTTTAATGTATAAGTTCAAAATGAATATTTAGAAAATTAATATCATCACGTAATTACGTTTGAATAATTTACTTAAATCAAAATATTGGGTAAAAATGACAATAACAGAATTATTTTTAATAAAAACAAAAATAAATAATAAACTTTTTCTTAAAAAGAAGGGAAAGCCAAGCCATAAAGCATTGGCGAAGGCATGGCCGCATGGGTAAGCGTGGGATTAGGGACCCACCGTACGCGTAAGAGGCTTATTGGCTTAATCGAAAGTTCGGGTGAGTATCACAAGGGCTCTGCCACATTGTGGACTGAAATTGTCCACGTAGGACGGACTAGACTAGAGAATCTGCCGTGCCCTTTGGTTTAGTTGACACGTCCTCACCCAATCCCCATGAAAATATCTCAGTAATTGCTGCCACACACGCAACGTATTCCGTCCATAACTGACTCTCCACGTGGCACCATTTTTAGAGAACCCTTTATTAATTGCATTATTAAAGGACTAAGTAGAGATCCGGTGTACACGACATCACCCTCTCTGACGAAAAACACGGAATAATCAGTCGCCACGTAGAATCACTGTGTGCTTGCTAGCCATTTATTCCTTGCGGTACGGTGATTGATTCTGATAATGTTTCTATTTTCAAGTGTACGTATCTTTTACTAAATATACCAGAATTATATTTAAAATACGATTTTCTTAAAAGATATTTTTCTATAAAGTAATTCCGAGTATTTTTCCAAATATTTAATTTTATTTGAAAGTATTTTGTACAATGCTATTGTACTTGTTTGCACACCAGATGAACCCGAGAAGATTTTAATCCATTCAACTAGAATGAAATGACTGGTCTACCCTCGGAATTAACTTGATTAAATGCGAAAAATCAGGGCTGTTTGGCTTCAATAAATAAGTTCAAGTAATCAGATTCATTTCTTTCTGTATGTTTTCTATTTCAACTGCGAAAGAGAAAGAGCCAAACATAGAAGAAGAAGAAGAAGAAGAGGAAGAGGAGAAAAAGAGAAAGAGAATGAGAAAGTGTGAGCTGTGTGAATGTGTGGCGAGAATGTATTGTGAATCGGACCAAGCTAATCTGTGCTGGGACTGCGATGAGAAGGTTCACCGAGCCAATTTTCTTGTAGCCAAACACTCGAGGAGTCTCTTGTGTCACGTCTGTCAGTCTCTCACGCCGTGGAAAGCCTCAGGCCCGAAGCTTGGCCCGACGGTCTCTGTGTGCGACACGTGCGTCACTTCTGCTCACTGTGAAGCTCATGATACTGAACTTGTTAAACCTGAGAATAATCAGACCGAAAGAACCACCGGTGATGATGATGATGATGTTGATGAATATGATGAAGATGATGAAGAAGAAGATGATGATGATGAATATGATGATCTTGATGAGGAGGAAGATGATGAAAATCAAGTGGTTCCGTGGTCAGGTGATTCACAGTATCCTCCTCCTCCTGTAGCGAGTTCTTCATGTAGTAGTATCAGTGAAGAAGAAGAGGTTTCATTGAAACGAGGTCGCGATTGCGGTGATTTTTACTCTGATGTAAGGCTTGTTCTAATCTCACTTTGTTTCTTCTATTGTTAGTTTAATGAGTGATCTGTTTCTCTGGATCTGGCAGAATGCGATTCTGAAAACAAAAATTTTGTTTCTACTGTTTCGATTTTTATCAAATGAGTGAAAATAGAAATTTTTTTTGTTTTTGTTTTTTCTGAACAAATTAATTGTTAATTTAGTGAAGCGGAGGCTAATGAGTGCTTTAGTGGAAGCTTTTTTCATTTGCTACCTGAGTCTCGATATTTTCAATTTCTTTCGCTTTCTTTATTTTTCTTTGCAACCAAACAGGACATGATTTTCTCGAGAATTTTATAAATGCAGGATGAAATCGGTTGTTCAACTTCTCAACCGTGCTCTAGAGCAGCCGCTAACGAGGAAGCGAACTCTTCTTTGAGCACATTTAGACCGTTGAAACAAGCAAGAACAACAGCTGAGGAAGATCGTGGTCAAGCAGACTCAAGATCAACGACTGTTATTAGCTCTCTGCACAGACTCCAAAAACAGATGATTACAAACGACCGTGACGCCTCCGCCACAATTCTTGGGATCTATCAACTGAGCAGAGATAAGAACCGTTGATTTCCCTTCCACTGTTGAACTCAGCAAAGACGAGAACCGTTAATTTCTCTTCCACTAACCTTACATTATGAGGTAGCTTTGTTCTTTAATTATCACTAACCAAAGTTAATACTCCTTAGCCTTAGTTAACTTTGTTTAGATCAAAGGGGCCTATTTAATCTTTCTTGTGAATTATTAAAAAAAAAAAAAAAAAATTGTTGCCATCGTATTGGTTCCTTGAAATAGTACATGTGTACTTATTGTGCATGTATTTCCTGTCGTTTGTTAATATATGTCTTCGAGGATGTAATTTGAATCTTGATTTTAAGTCTGTTAAAACCTGAAACTGAAGAATACGATGATGAAAATGAACATGAAATGGGTTTGCATTTTGGAAGAAAAGATTGTGCTCCCGTGGGGGCGGGGGGGGAATAGGAGAGGAGAGAGGAGAGGTGCATTTCACGTTACAAAATTGAGTATTACAATATCAACAATTATTTCTTACCATCTTTCTTTCACAACCTTGTGTGAAAGCTTGTAATTGATTTGTTTGTAATTAATTAGTGAGAGTGAGACTTATGTGAAATTTATTATAAACTGATGAATTGAGAACTGTGAAGTCTGATGAGAACAGGTTTATGAGAAAAAATTGGAATAGTATTATTTTATGATGACCAAAAGTTGGTGTAGTATTATTTTATGATGGCCATTCATGGCTTGGTTATTATAATGTGTGGGCTTGTCTTGTGTCTTTGTCCGGGTAGGAAGCCTTGGTGCATTGTCATAAAGCAGCCACGTAGCCCCATAGTGGCTTGTGGGAACCCATTGAACTTAAAGAAAAAGGTATTAATAGTTATAGATTTTACAATTTTAACTTTACTTAATTTCCTTATAAAATAAATTATTAATTAATACTTTTTAAACTTTTATCTTTTATTTTCTTCTTTTGCTCTTTTATTATATTTTTCTTTTGGTTTGATACTCAATAAAGATTACTCCTTTAGATTATAAGGGAAGATTATAAGGGAAGATGATACTAATTTTATTTTTATTTTTTTACTTAAAATTAATTCTTTTCTTTTAGCTTTCTTAATTGATTAAAGATCATGTGTTACGGGTTTTTGTTGAGTCTAATAAATGAGTTTGAAATAATTCTTAGATTTTGATGCGAGTTTTGATTTAATCTTGTTTATATTAAGCTATGGGTTAATTAATTGTCGTTTTAAGTTGGGTTTGATAAATTGTGGTTAGTTATTGAGTTAATTTTGAATATGGTTTAAATAATTGATGAAACCCTAAGTTATAGAGATTTGGGATTTGGTTTAATTTGGATATATTTGTTAATTGCTTGATATTTAGAGTTAGATTTGATGAGTTTTTATGGGTTTATGAGTGAATTTTATCGAGTTAGTAGAAATTGCTTGAAAACCTAAATTGTGAGTTGAATTTTGATAAATTTGTGTTGTTTTTTAATTGTAATTGCAAATAAATTATATTTATGATAATAAAAATTCTTTTATTTTTTTAGTTATGAACAAGTTTTTTATCAAAAGAAAGTTTTCTAATAAGGAATCATTAATTGAACAAAACATAAGGCGTTACGATAGTGTTCATAATGAGCCTATGGAATTTAGTTCAAGACAAACATATGTTAAGCTTAACTTGAGTAATCTTTTTGCAGATCTTGAATTGAGGATTAAAATTTTAGAATATCCTCTTAATGATAGAGGCAAAGTGAGAAAGACATACTTGCAAAAAGGACCTTGCCAACCACATAATCATAATTTTAAAAAGCGAGCAATTGGAAATTTAATGGGTCGTTTTAATCCCGTTTGGTTTAGAGAATATGCAAATTGGTTGGAGTATAGTGTAAAAAATGAGAGTGATTTTGTTTGTGTTGTTATCTTTTTAGACATGAAAGTAGCATTGATATTACTTGTTGCAACTGTAAGTGTTGAAAGAGCATTTTCTGCAATGAAGATTGTAAAAAATCGACTAAAGAATCGATTAAGAGATCAATTGTTAAATGATTGTCTTACTACATATATTAAGAGAGATATATATTTGATGGAATTGTCAATTAAGCAATTATGTAACGTTTTCAAAATATGAAAAATCGTCGAGAATAATTGTAGAATTGATAATTTGGTATATATAACTTTTAAAAGTACATTTTTTATGCTTATTACTTTGGTATATATTTTATTGTAAATTTACCAACTTTTATGTTTTAAATTCATTAACTCAAAATTCTGGCTACGTCCCTGTCTTGAAGTGAATGTGAATGTGATCGATTTAGTCACAAATATAGAATTCTTTCTTTACTTTTTTAAAAATTTAGAGAAATCAAATCGAGCCAATTAAGTTGTCACACATACTCTCTAATATCAAAAAAATAGATTTGGTAAAAGTAGGAATAGAAAGGAGGATAGCCATGTTTGTTGAGCTTATTAGCTAAGGTGGATAATTGGATATGTATATGGAAAAAAGGCAATGCTGTTGCTTCACTCCAAATGGGTTAGGGGACAGTTCTCATTATCTGGTTGGTGGGTGATGGGGATATTGATATTTGGTGATTAAGAGTTGTGTTCGGTTCCTTTCTTAAACATTAGGTAAAACAAGATATTTAATTAAATAATTGTTTAATCACACACTTGGATGAAAATCTTGGGTTACTTTGAATAAGTTTTATACCAACCGATTAAATTGACTGAAGAATCAATAATTTAGTTGTGGTGGTTCCATTTCCATTTTCTAAGCGATTCTATACCACGAAATGGGTATCAAATAATATAAAAGCTAAAATAAAAATCTCTACTTCAGACTTGATGACTGATAATTAAAGAAGCCACCTAACCAGAAGATGAGAATAATGTTAATGGAAATGGAAACCTCTACAGTGAGAGTTTGGGTTGTGTTGTGTTGTGTTAAGAAAACATTAAAACGTGAGTGAGTGAGAATTGAAAGTGTCAACTCAAGTTTGATTCTTAGAGCATTAAAAAGATATGACAGGTGTTAGGTTGGTGTCACTCAATTCTAATTTTTACATATGTTTTTCTCACCATTATTTGTGGGTACAGTACATAAGGTTGACACAAAAAGAAGCCTTTTATTTGGAATAGATTTTAAGGTGGCATTACTAACCAAGTATATTGGTGAATGGTTGATCATTTACCACCCAAAAAAAAAAAAACAAAAAATTCACTTTAAGCATCAAATAAAGAATAAAGCATAACTACCATTTCTCTGGTTGGTTCTTCATCAAAGTCTTACGCGTTTTATGTCAGATTTCACATTCTGAATATTTTTATGGGGGGTAATTTCAATAGCCTCTCAAAGTTGAATCTTGACAACTATTAATATTTCATCAAACGATGAGATTTTTATTATAATACTCAAAGGAATTTGTAATAATTTAAATAGATAAATAATAGTTTTCAAAAATCATAAAGTTGACATGATTTAGTTAGATTTTAAAAAGAGTCAACAACTTTTTTCTATTCAAACAATGGTTTAATGACATTCTCTTACCTATAAATTTCTAAAATACCACTTTTTCATTAAAAAAAATGCACTTTTCTATTCAATGGCAAACGGAGAGCAAACTCAAAGAAGAGAGGGCGATGAGTTTTTTTACGGTGAAATATTGAATTTTGATGATCGTGATTGGTTGAAATTTGACTTAGAAGTAGGACTGTAAACGAGCTGAGCTGAGCCGAGCTTTTGGCTTATCGAGCTCAGCTCGTTAACTACAGTGTCGAGCTCAAGCCTGGCAAGCCTCAGAATTGAGACTCGAACTTGAGCTCGATCGAGTTCGAGCCAACTTGTGAGCCGACTCGAACTCGAGCTCGAGCTCGTTAAGGCTCGATCAAACCACCATTTCTCCAGGTTTGATTGAGCCAATTTCCCCTTTTTTACAACAATCTTCCTGCGTACAGCGTTCCATCTTTACATCCAATGTTGAATTAACCATGACAGTTTCGAACTTTAAAAAATGCCTATTACTTTACAAAATCAAAAAACAGTTCTGAATATATACAAATAATATTCCAAGGTAATAAAATCCACCAATCAAAATCACTATCCACCAGTAGTCTGCAGTAGACCTGTCTTCGACGAAAACCACAATTTTCCACTGCCTGTAGAAAATGTTCAATTTAGTAAGTATTTTTTAAGGTAACTATTACATGAGAAAAATATGTATAATCATGAAACAAAAGCAAAAGGAATGAAATTTTTACCTATGCATGCCTCTTACCACAACCAAACCATGCACTGAATCTCAGGAACTTACGGGATAGGAATGTTGATCTCCAACGGTTGCTGTTCTTCCTGAAAATGACAAAGGAGGAGTAATTGAAGTTTTGTTAGTATAAATATAAAGTAATAATTAAATTTAATAAAAACAATATTCAATATAAGCATATAACCTACTTTACATCCTTTCTTCACCCCATTCAAAGTCTTGCTCCAATCACATCCACATAAGAGCATCTCCACCGTGTTGGGAGTCAACGACGATCGGTACGTGTCAATAACCCTACTGTCTGCACTGAAAGCAGACTCAGAAGCAACCATAGTAATAGGGATGGCTAATATGTCACGAGCCATGGTAGACAAGATAGGGAACTTTGTTGAATTAGCCTTCCACCACGTCAAAGCATCAAACGTCGTAAGGTCCCCGACACATTTATGGCATCCCTCTCCCAGGTAACAGTCTAATTCTGATTTCGTTGGCTCAACCGTCTCAACCACATCCAAAAATTGACTAAAATCATCCCAATCATCCGCCGTCTCTACCGCTGCCCCTGACCCCTCACCAACAACCTGAACTCCATCCCCTATAGATGCAGAAACGCGGGCAGCTGTCAATGCTTTACTGGTATCAACATACTCCCTATATACCTCATACAAGGCATCTCGAACAACATCAATATTTGCTCGCGCTTCAGGCTCAGGATACATCTTAGGGAACGCCCATTGAATTACCCTCATCTTCAGTCTAGGATCCAAAATAGCAACCACACCCATCAATAGATTACATTCTCCCCAATATTTGTCAAACTTTTCTTTCATTTTCCAAATCATGGTCTGTATAAACTCATCTCCATCCTGACTCTTACTATCCAACATAATTTTGATTGTACAAACTTGTTTTAGAAACAAGTTTGATGTCGAATAATCACTCCCCATTATGAGATTCGACGCACCACTGAACACCTTTAAAATTGAACAAATTTTCTCATCTTTGTCCCAATCCTCTTCCTTGGGACAATAATAATAACTCAAATCTCTTTCCTTCAAACAAGGGAAAACACGCCTAAATTTCATTGTCGTTGTCAACATATCATATGTTGAATTCCATCGCGTTTTGCAATTAAGAATAAGCTTGCGAAATGGCAATCGGCACTGCTAAACAATCTCTGCAAACACCTTTAGTCTACTCTCTGATGAATTGATATATGCCACGGTATCACGGATGTCCTCAATAATGTGTCTAATCTGATAAAGACCATCTTGAACAACCAGGTTCAAGATGTGTGCACAACACCTCACATGAAACATCTTGCCCCCACATATAAGCTTCCCCGTAGCTTGGAAATTATCTTTCAACATTTTTACTGCAACTTCATTGCTTGAAGCATTATCCACCAATATCGTGTGGACCTTAGCTTCAATTCCCCAGTCCATCAAACACTTGAAAATTGCATCAGCAATGGCAACACTAGAACGAGGAGGAAGGAAATGAATAAAGTTCAACACCCGTCTATTAAACTTCCAATTATCATCAATCCAATGCCAGTCAAGGCCATGTATTCCATCCTCTAGTTGCCTGAATGCCATAGATCTGTGGTCAGACTTATCTTCCTAACACCCTTCAATAGGGTCAGCAACTTCTGCCTCTCATATTCAAACGCTCTCAAACAATCATTCTTACAAGTATTACGGGATATCGGAGTCCATTGAGGAATCCCGTACTTCATCATGTTGTTCAACCTCTCTTCCTCCACAATAGAAAATGGATGCTCATGCATCAGCACCCAATGTGCAATAAGCTCCCTCATCTTCAGCATATCGAGTTGGCCCCGTAGAGCAGGCAGGATAGTAGAGCCACCCTGAGAACTGGAAGGGGGGAAATTTATTTGTTGTTGCCTCAAGTGAGATGTTCTCTTTGCACACCTTTTCAAATGTCTATTGAATTGTGTTGTGCTTCCAATGACAGTCATTTTCAACTTTGTTTTACAATGAATGCACTCTCCCTTCCTTGTACCACCAAGGAGAACCACCTCCCTAATTCTGACCACACAGCTGATGTCTTCGCTCTCTTCTTCCTCTATAGTGGACTGTCATTGTCCTCTACATTTTTGGGGCTACTCACACTTTGCTCCGTAACACCTGTGCTTCCATAAATGCTACGTCGATCGACTGCTCTTACCGTAACACAATCGTCGACATCATCCAATGTAGGGGTGCTTGAGGAACTGTCTCCTGATGTCATACCTACAATTGAAAAATAAGACACCATTACAGGCCCTTTCTCTTAGGTTCCATCAAGTAACGGCAGAATATTTCACAGCTAGATGTACTTTCTACATGCTCTTAACTTGTAAAGTACCTGCTCTATGTTTGCATTAGTCATAATCATTAGGAGTATATATCTACTTCAAATTAAACATGGTCTTTTATACGTATAATTTCATATCAGTTATGTGAGAAAATCTTTCCAACTAAGATGTGTGCAAATCACATGTTGATGAGTTAAGTCCCCATTGATTGAATGCACATGAGCTCGGGCTAAAGAAATTTTTTTGCCAATTATGAACTCTAAACTGTTCAGATACTGGTGGTTTTGCTTGTCAATAACGTGAGTCAGATGACATTAAATGATGACACAATAATTGCTACACCTTTTCTCCTTTATGTGGTTTCTAATGACTTTGACAAGATGTTACAAGAAATACGCAGAATTCAAATTATTAACATTAGCTATTTTTTCTTTGAGCCTTCGCATTCTCATGAGTTTATAAGCATTGAAAGAAAGCCTGCATAAAGGATTTCTTTAGTTAGTGCCTTCCCAAATCTTTGTAATAGGTACATTGTCTGAACTTGTATGTGTTATATGAGATCATCAATTAAAATTTTATTGATTAAGGTCCAGAGACCCTTAATGGCTTGACACAAGTCCTTTTCAGTTCATTTGGCTCCGGCAGATGTGCCATTGCATGATACAATCACTGATTTTTATTGCTTTTTCAAATCAATTTACGCTGGAATGCAGGTCATTCTTTTGTTTCTATCAGTTCAACTGGAATGTGAACATGGACCACAGTCTAATTCGCCATGACCAGTGATGCAAAATGACCATTTCTAACTGGTCCTGCATTCAGGCTAAGTAGCCTGTGAGACAATTGACAGGTCTTACAAGGCGAGCGCACTAAATAAAAGGCGAAGACAATTGACTCCTGGAATTTTCTGGAAAGCAAAACATGCGATTCAATTTCAACATCGGTTTACTTTCAAGTAGATTTTGTGACTTTACTCCTAAATCAACTGAAACAATCAAAATGTTATTCGGGCAGTGGATGTTCAATAGACAAAGATTACAAGTTATTCAGCAAAATTCAGCAACTTATTCAGCAAACAAATCAGTTGATTTAGCAACTTATTCAGCAAACAAATCAGCAAACAAAATTCAAATCACATTCACATTAAAAACAAATCATCAACAAAATTCAGCAACTTATTCAGCAAACAAATCTCAAAGATTACAAGTTACAACAATGGCACCATACCTCGTCCCTGCCTGGCAGTTTCACGGTGGTGGCTGTCACTTTCACGGTGATGGCTGGTGCGTGTCTGCGATTTCGGGCAGTCGATTTCAGGGTGGTGGGCAGTGGGCTGCTGGCTGGTGCGATTTCGCGATATGGGGGTTTGTGTGACTCTTTTTCCGGTTGCCGAGATCAGAAATAACGACGGAGATGACTGATTTCACGGCGAGGACTCGTGTCTGGTTCATGATTTGGGGGTTCTTTGTTTGCGATTTGGGAATTAGGGCAAGTGGGCAACTGAAATTGATTTGGTGTATTCGTGTTATACGATTTTGCACTTTGGGGGGGGGGGGGGGGGGGGGGGGGGTGTAACTATCATTTTTTTAAAGTTTTTTCACTGGAAAATATCATTGTAATACCTCATGGTTTAAAAAATCACCAAAGCACCCTGTGTAAGTGCACAGTGTATACACGAGCCGAATCAGGCTTGCGAGCCGCCGAGCCGAGCTTCACTATGTTCGAACTCGACTCGGTTAATAAATCGAGTTCGAGCCGAGTCGACTCGATAATTACCGAGTCGATTTGAGCCGGCTCGCAAGCCGCTCGACTCGACTGACAATCCTACTTAGAAGAGACAATTATGCAAACCCTAATCGTTCGATTGCCAACTATTAACGAGGTCAACATGAGTAAAGTTTGAAGGGTTTTAATGAAAAATAATCAAAGAAGAAAATAGTAATGATGTGAGATCCCAACAATACTAGAATCGATCGATGATTGACGACATAGGTGAAAAGTGTCATTAAAAGGTGTCATTTTGGTGAAAAAGTAGTATATTAAAAGATAGACGAGATCAATGAGAATACAATTTAAAGGGTTTTAATAAGTGATGATCAAGAAAAAAAATAATGATGGTATGAGTTTCCAACCATATTAGAATCAACGATGATTGACAAGATATGTGAAAAGTATCATTAAAAGGTGTCATTTGGTGGAAAAGTAGTATATTAAAGGTTTGTAAAGGGAAAAATGTCATTAAGCTATTATTTAACTGGAAAAAAATCTTTTAGCCTTTTGAAAATAGTCCAAAGGAGATCGTTGCATCATACAAAAAGTACCAGTGATAATTTGGGATCCTCATTGTTTCACATTCAGATTTATGTCATGAGTAATAGGAAGAAAAGAAAATTCATGTCATTCAAGCAGATTTTATAAAATCCTCGTAGAAACTATGCTTATATAGCAATGCAGTGAAACAAGTTTTACAAACGGGCATTAAAGAAAATTAAAGCCTCGTCAATCATTCATACAAGAACACCACCAATCATCGCATACACATCACAAAATGAAATGATGAATAACCATGTTTTCAGAATAAACAAGGAACTCCTAACAATCTTTATAGATTAACAAGATTACACCCCCTGTGAACAAGATCACATTGACTTTTTTCTTACGTGTCGGCTCTTCACTGTCGACTCGATTGATTCTACGTTATCTACAACATGCGAAAACAACATTTAAGATACATAAAGTTCAAGAAAATCCTGTGGCAGATACAAGAAAATATTCGTTGAATGAGATAAAATTTGCAAAACTTGATGAGAAATAAAGAACCAGTATGGAGATTTTCCAGTGCAACTCTTACCTCCTACTGGAGAGGATCAAGTCATGACCCCAAGGAACTACTAAGCATCTGCAATAAAACACAGGCGATCAACAAAGTTACAACCAGCAAAAATTATAAGATTTAGAACCATATATAAAATGAATAAATAAATGGAGCCAACCATTTTTAAGTGAAATAAAGGATGAAGTAAGATGATCAGAAGAAACAATAATAGAGATAGCATTCAAGAATTCATTTCAGTTGCAAAATAATCTCACTCTTTCAAACAATCTTTCAGCCATATGTTTTCAACATTCTTCTAACAAAATGAATTCAATGAGAATCAGTAAGCACAGAATATTTATCTCCGAAAATGCCAAGGCAACAAAATCACAACATCCCGAACTAGTGCAAGAGAAATACAAACTATAATTCATTTTGCATGACATTGCAGAAAATCTTCTTTACATGTAAATCACCCAGTTTACACGCATTTTTGAGGTAAAAAAAATAATACCGTACTTCGGCAAGAATAATCAGGGTGTTCATAACAAATATTTCTCAATTCAATCCAGACAAGTCACATATAAGCATTTTGACAAAATGCAGTTCTTACTAATTTTTTATCACTTCAACATCTTGCCTACTGTTAACCAGGAGTTCTGGTAGACGATTTGATAAGTAAATGACTTCTGGAACTTTTACTTCAATGGATTAATTCTGGTTAATAAACATTTAAACAGTCAAAATAAACAATTTTTATCACTCCAACTTTAGATCACTCTTTTTCCCATACAAGATTTCTCACCTTCCTCTTAATAACTTTCTAGCCGTTTCATTAGGTAGGACCACACAGGAAAGAGGCCCTAGCTACGAAAGCCCACAGGAAAGAAAATAACAATTAGGTAAGCATAGGAACCTATTCAAAACTAGAGGGAGCAGGGACAACAACCCTGCCGATTAGGGAGTCCCAAAAGTACAGCCAAACTATATAAACATCAAACATGTTAAAGACCTACTGATCAAAGAATTCCAATTTGCAAGGACAATACATCATCCAAAGCTTTCAAAATACACCAAGATGAAGCTTGCCCTAACTCATAGCATACCATATCATAGAAATGAAATAATCACCAGAATAGACTACAACAAAAGGATGATACAAATAACTCTAAGATGAATATCAAACACCTCGTAATATAGCTAATGCCTCACAGGAGTGAGTCATATATATAATTTTGACACAAGACAACTGCAGTATGTGGTTGCAGAATACATCTCAGAAATCTCTATTTAGTAGTATCATACATCCCCTTTTCCTTCGGAAAAAAAAAAAAAAAAAAAGAAAGTGTCACACTAACTTTGAAAATGCTGTAGAGGCATCAAGTCGCTGCTACGAAAATAAGAGATTCCAAGTATTGGTGAAACTCTCAAAAATAACAATTAGGTTGACGTTTCAAAATTACATTATCAAAATTATCAGGCTGCATGCATGCACATGTACTAACTGATACCCAAAGAGTACTGATTTTAATTTCGGAAAATTTCAGGGGAAAAGGGTTATTGTTTATAGACTGATAGGAACTTACTCCAATAACTCAACAATTTGAGCTGGGCCATGGGTTTTTCATGGGCTTGGGTAGAAATCTCTTTGAAAAACCGGCTTGCCAAGGGAGAGTGCCCAAGCCAGGCTAACCTTGGGCCCGGGTTGCTACCTCGAGAAAGGGCATGGAGGCCCAAGGGAATAGGGGTGGGATAAATAATCCGAAAACTGAACCAAATCGATAACCGAACCGAAAATTAGGTTTTTTTACAAACCAGTTCGGTTTTCGGTTTGTGAAATTCAAAAAACCGATTCGGTTTGAAAAAAATTTCAAACCGGTTTTACCCTAAATATAAAAGCAAAAAAATTATTATATATAACATAATAAATATTTGAATTTAGGGACTTAAATGAAACATTGAAGAATTTTAAGGATTAAAGGATAATTTGAAAACCGGTTAACCGGTAACCGAATTTTCAATTCGGTTCGGTTTACATTCTGTTTTTAACCGAAACCGGTTCGGTTAATTGGGTTATCCCACCCCTACAAGGGAAACGGGATCCGCGTAGTCACCCAAGGGGTAAGGAGGCCGACGTGGACGTTGGTTGCGAAAGCGTGGTGGAATGTTAGGATCCCACATTGAAAGGGAAAAGGATGGGCATGTGGGTTATAAAGGCTTGGGCACCCTTCCTTGGCAAGCCGGTTTTCCAAGGAGAGTTCTACCCAAGCACATGAAAGACCCATGGCCTGGCCCAAATTGTTGAGCTATTGGAGTGGGTGGGTTCTTATCATAGACAATTCATTTTCTCAATGATAGGTGAAATATTATCTACTAATACATGATTAATATGAGCACAAAATTCATCCTGTCAATCATAAATCTTAACAGGTCCATTAAGAATAAATTTGAGAAACAAATAATCATTTGAACCAGATCTGTTTATTAATTGCACAAGGAAAGAAGTCTAATCTATTTATTCTTATGTTTTCTCAAGTCAAAACATAATTGTGTTGCCAAAAAATAAAAGTACAAGTTGTCTTCAAATAGGATAGTGCTTTGATCAAATTGAAGGGACTACAAGCAGCCAATGATTAAACACTAATAACTCTACCACCACAAGACCAACTTCTTCAATTCAATGAAAACATGTTTATCTATCCACAATGACTGTTGTCCCATTACATTGCTACTAAGTACTAAATTGACTCCACCATGCTAAAGTAATTGGTGATGCTATACTAGTTAGCACCAATCTCCTATAAAACCCATCTACCTGTCATGTAGTCAATAAATTTCCTGGAAAAAACTGTGCTCAAAAGTCAAAACCCTAGTGAAAGACATCAATTCACCGAGATACGCTCACAACTCAGATATTCACATAAATTTCACTACAAAACACCCAGAAGACCAACCACTTCTTATTTCTCCCGCAGTACTCAATTCATATATCAGCAACAAAAACATTTAATTCCCATGAAAAAATCCACCCTTTACAATAAAAATGAGAAACAAGCTTGACATATCCTCCATCAAAAAAAAAAAAAAAAAAACAACCCATCATTCAACAACACACAAAACAAACAATACATACACAAACCAGGTAAAAAAGAAATAAAAACTACTTTTCTAAAAAAATCTAACCTTTAAGCTTTGCATCTGCGTGGTCCTCCTCCATCTCCTCCGGTACCTTAACTTTGACCACCGGCTCGCCGCCGTCCTTATCCTCAGGATATCTAACAACCACCACAGGGCACACACAATGGTGCACACAATAATCACTCACACTCCCCAACTTCCCATCATTTCCTCTCTTCTCAGCTCCAAACCCTCTACTCCCCATTATCACTGCACTCAAACCCAACCTCTCTATCTCCAAACACAGCCTCTCCCTCATGTCATGATCCTTCACTATGTGTATCTTGTACGGGAGCCCAGCCTCCTTCAACGGCCTCGCCAGATCAGCAGCTTTCGTAGCCGTAAAGTTGTCGAAATCATGTTCTATCTGCCGCTGTTTATGCTCTTTGTTACTGTTATTACTATCATTACTATTCTCATCAGCGTTACCAGGGTTCTCTTGGTGGTGGGGCAGTGGGCCCCAGTCGGCGCCGAAGAGGACGGAAGTGGGCGACACGTGGATGAGGACGACACCGTCACCAGGACGGAGGTAATTGTCGACGGCCCAGTGGACAGCGAAGGCGGACTCGTCGGATAGGTCGACGGCAACGCCGATCTTGCGGCGGGCAAGGGAGGTAGGAGTTGGGGTGGCACCGACGGCGGAGGTAGCGGCGGCGGGGTGATGGATCTTGATGGTGGGGAGTTGGGGGTGGTCAGAATCAGATGGGGTTTGATGAGGATTCATTATTTTTGGGTAGCGTTTGCGTTTGTGTTGAGTTGGCTGGAGCAAAACGATCGTGAATCTATTTCGAGAATTAACAGTGGGAGTAGTGGGGTTTAGGCATAGACCAGAGTGTTAAAAGGATAAAGGCCGGTGTGGGCCTTATTTGGAAGAATTGGGCTCAAACTTAGGCCCACAAAACCTATTATCATATCAAACAAATAACGAATTCAATACAAATTGTCATGTGAACTCACCTTATAAATTGATTTGAACTATTCAAACGAGATCTTAAATCTAAGTCCTATTAAATAGTGGAGAATCATATTGTTACAATGCTAAAGTTTACACAATTATTGAAGTGATCAAATTAGAAGAATAACATTCTATCAATACCAGATTAAAACTTCATATTTAGAAAATAAAATTTGAAAACGGTTATCGTTTTTCGTGATTAGATTTGCGGGTTACGTAACCTAGACCTAGTTGAGTATTAGTAAAAAAAATTGTACTCTTTAAGGGGATAAATGATAATGCACTATCCAGGGGGTTTATATAATATTTTCCGAACTCATGGATGCCTTCAAATCTAATAGTATTAAATGATAAGAATATCAACATATAGTTAGTGTCAAACAGTGGACGTGCCGGAGTGGTTATCGGGCATGACTAGAAATCATGTGGGCTCTGCCCGCGCAGGTTCGAATCCTGCCGTCCACGTATTTTGGTTCTTTTTTTTTTTTCTTTGGGCTTTCCAGTTGTTTGTAATTTACTATTTTTAAGGAACATTGAAGAGGCGATATATAATCAGATTAGTGTTTGTGGAAAAAAAAAAAAAAAAAAAGGTTTCTATAAACTCAATTCTCTTTTCTACAGTCTACAAGGTAGCTTGAGCTTTTGAAGATTACCAAAATCATTGAATAAAACAACTTTTACCAAACTAAAGTACTAAACTGAACTCTCTTTTAAATGTCCAACATACTTTCCTCAATTATGTGGGTTTCTTAGAACTTAAACTTTTATAATAACGTAGATGATGACATATTTAGACTATAATCATATAACTTTGACTCCCGTTTGTTATTACTACTAGTATTACTGTTTGAATATGGAAACTAAATCAAAAATAAACATAGAAAGAGGTTAAACTGTTTCAAAAAATCACTTTATTATCCAAATTTATATTCTGACAACAAACTCGTTTTTTTACTATTAGGGTTTTTGAAGAGAGAAGACTGATAAGTTTTTCGGTGATAAAAAGTTAAATTTTGGTGGTTGAGATTGATCGGAATTTGACTTGAAATGGACAGTTGTGTAAACCCTAATCACTCGATTTTCGAAAATTGACGGGCTCGACAAGAATATGGTTTGAGAGGTTTTGGTGAGTGATGATTGGAAAAGAGAATAGTGGTGATATAGGTTCACAATGATGCCAAAATCGAAAATGAAATATAAATTTGAATTATAAAATAATATTTTAAAAGTTTACGGGTAAAAAAGTATCATTAAACCATTAATTGGGTAGAAAAAAGTCGTTTACTGTTTATAATAATGTGGATGTTGACATATTTAGACTATAATCATATAACTTTGATTCCCATATGTTATTACTAGCATTAATGTTTGAATATGAATTTTGGTTTCACACTTAAAATTAAGGTCTCTGAACAAAGCTACAAAAAAAAAAAACCAAATGAAAGAGGGTTATTACTTATTTACCAAAATACAATGGCAAGAAAGAGGAATAAAAAAGAAAAAGCTGAGAATGAATAAGACAAACTGATGACTGAGCATCCAATCAATCGAAAGGGAGTTAGAGAAAAAGGGTTTCCACATAGCCCTTTACTTCTACTGAAACTAACACAGACTCCCAGTGATCTTCACCTGCATCTATTTTTATACTTTACTACAGATTTGTACTGGTCTGGTGTTTTGGCTATGGCTGCCTGCCTGCCTGCCTGCCCTCTGTGCTGCCTCCTTCTGCCATTTTTATTCATCAAAATAAACCAGTGTCGTTATGAGAAGTTTATTCACTTTCTTACTAGTTTTACAGTCTTTGCTTTTTTATTTATTTACCTTTTTTCACAGTTTTTAAAGCACTTCTTAAAAGCTTATGCTTGACTCCCATATACAGAATACTTAGATGCTCATTTGTGGTTTTCAGTCCATGAAAGATGTTCACTGACTCTAGAATGGAAAACCCATCTTCATTTTTTCCAGTAAAAACAATTAAGAGACAGAGAGAGAGAGAGAGAGAGAGAGAGAGAGAGAGAGAGAGTGAGAGAGAAATACAGTAAAAAGCTAGCTAGGGTTGTGAGCTATACCACAGTAAAAGCCATAGCCTGTAGCTCTCTTCTCCATCGTGCAGCCTATTTATAAGTAGTTTATATATATTTTCCATCATGTTTTTCATATTTAAGCTCGTTTAACCTAAATATAATTTGCCTTTGATAAATAAAATATAACATTAGAGACAGAAGAATAATATCAAATTTATGAACTACTGCATTGCCTTAAGCTCTTCAGATCATATGTTTTGCAGTAAAACCAATTAATGTTGGAGGATCAAAAGATCAAAACATTTGCTTATTTGGGGAAATTATCAGAGATAGCGGGGCATCTATATGCCTAATGACAATTAAATAAGCCTTAGAATGCTCTTATTAAGCTATAGCTAGACCCAGAAAAGATTGGTTAGAAGACAAGATAGATTACAAGATGAGAAACAATGGTAATATCATTAATGAAGCTGATGAGAAAATTAAAACAGTTTCTGACACAATCTTGGGTTGAGATCAGTACAAATACTTCACTATTTTGATGAAGATCTTTGAGTTAATTAACAGCAAAAAGGAAACCAAAAAAGCTGTAATTTGGGTTCTGGTTCAAATATATAAGTAAAATATCCCTAATCTGATACAAACAGAAATTTTTATTTGCATCTAATATGAAAGCTTGAGGGACAAATCAACAGAATTAGAAGATGCATTAACACCATAAACAGTAGCAGTAAAACAAGAAGCTTCACCACCCACTACTGAAACTGAAGCTTCTGTCGGCATCAATTCCATCTCCTTGGAGGAAGTGCTTTTCGCATCTTTTCCCGGAAAAAATTCATACTCCATTAACACATTTCTATCCCTTGAGCTACCATTTTTGTGTATTGTCTTCACTTCTACACCCTGTACAATTAAAATCCCATTTCACACAAGTTAATCTAAAGAATCATATGTGCATATACATGGTTTTTTTTTTACAAATGATGTTCAAGAATGAAATAGTTAACCTGCTGCTGATTAAGATCGTGACTTGCATAAAGAGCACTTCTTGCGGCTCTAGCACCAAAAGCGTTTAAACCGCCATTGAAGTTTATGTTGTTTTGTTGATGGGAACCATGAATATCTGAGGTGTTCATGCCATTGAATCCTCCGTTCTGCCCATGGAAGCGCTTCTTCTAAAACAAAAAAGAAGAAAAAAAATGCCAAACTAACATCATATGCAAAGATGAAAAAGCACTTCAACTGTTCAACATATATAATAACATCGGGATTACATAAAGCTAATAAATCAGCTAGAGAAAATGTTGGGAAAGTGAAAAACACAAACATAGGATAAAAAAAACTTTACATTCAATCACCTGTTAGAAAAAAGATCGTGCACTAAGTACATAAACTCTAAACTCAAACTCTTCTTCTTAACACAATCAATCATAAAATCGTACTTGTTTTAAGCCCAGTTAAATTGAGATCTAATGACCTAGTTGATGTTACAACTGTTATGTAAAAAAAATTTCTCAAGAACCAAACAGAAAAAATAAGAAGTATACCTTTGAGCAAATATCACAGCGTTCAGAGGCCAGAGCCCACTGAGGCTGAATCTTTGGTATTGAAGAGAGCTCGTTTGAGGTCTCAACAAAACTCAGCTGGCTAGCTGTAAAATCCGGGTTATGTTGACCCGATCCAGAACCATTTCCAGCACTTTGGATCATCACAGCAGTCTGGTCCAAACCCAACAACGACCCACCTCCAACTCCACCGAGAACGGACACACCATAGTTTGTCGCTCCGTGCAACACGGGAACACTGGGAATCGGCTTCATTAAGGGCATGTGATGAGGAGAGTAATAGTGTTGGTGTTGAAGACGGTGAAGGTCAAGAGGGGGCATTTCAGCCATTTTCTTCAACGTAATTTCTTGCATCCTCAAACTTTCAAGCTGAGCCACTCCCATACCTCTCTGAGGCTTCTTCTTCTGAGACGTTCCGGCTTTGTTGCCGGCGTGCTTTCTTCCTCTACAGCTCTTGGTAGCTTCACCTTTTGCTGGCCCGTCATGATGAGATGCAATGTACACCAAGCTCGCCTCTTGTATTGCGTTGTTGAAAGTGTCCATGAATAAGCTAAGTTAAAGCTTTGTTGGTTGGTTTGGTTTTGTTTATAATGTGATATTGATGAAGAGGCCTATATAAAGAGGAAAGAGATTGAGGGAATAACTTAAATTAATTTAATTAAAACAATTAATAGTTAATTAATAATAAGAAAGAATATAATTAATTGCATGGAATTTGGTGTTTGGAAATATGCCAAAAAATGCTTCTCATATTAATTTTTTATTTTATATTAAATTATTAATTGCTTTTATGAATTAGGGTTCTTCGTTTTTGTCTATTTTCAGACCATGTTTTTCACTCTCTTTCTTTTGGGTTTGTTTTTTGCAATAGTAAAATTGGGCTCAACATAACAATACCTTTTTCTGTGAAAAATGCCATTCTTATTGCCACCATCTTTCATCTCACTCTCCCTTTTTGGCGCGTGATCCACGCTCCAACTAGTGTACAAGAAAACAAAAACACTGAAAAATATAAACCAACCTGATTATCCTAATAAGATCATCCAAAACTTTGTCTGAAATTCATAGATATAAATTCTTAATTCATTATATTTAAATGAAGGGATTATTTATAAGTACGCAAGTATAGCTACGCTCTAGAAAGAGGCGTGGGGAACGAGGGTGTGTAGAATGGTACCTACGGACAGGTGTCAATAACCCAGAAAAATATTCTCCAATTCTACCAAGCAGTTTCTGAGGCAGAGGAGATGAAGACATTGAAGGAAGCTAAAATAAGGCAGGGCGAAAAATTAGCATAAAATCATTATTTTTCAATTAAAAAAATAGATTTGTTTCATATCATTTAATGGCCATGATCTTGTGATCATATGGGATTTTGAGCTGATCAGATCAGGTGGCCAAAAACAATCATATTAAGTAAGATTTTTTTATGATCACCCTATGGTGTAGACTAGCAATCATACTCCTCTTATTATAGAAATTTTTTATCAAAAAGTTTTATCCTATTTGGTAACTTCCAACATGGCAATTCCTTTCTTGAACCAATTGAGAATGTTATATTAACTCGAATATTTCAATTAAATTTGTCATATTAATTTATAATCTTCAATCTATTGAATTATAATTAATATATCTAAATATTTGATTAATTTACATATATTCACGATTCCGTTTAATATATGTTTGTGAACAACAAAAGATGAAACGGGCGGCGTTTACTATTAAAAGCAAAAGCTTATTGACCAAAGAATCCCCCAAAAAGAAAGAAAGATATGTTCCTCTTCTTTTTCAAACTGCATTCTAATATGATTTGGTTGGAGGACAATATAATTTTTTAACTACCATGTCAACATTTTTTTTTTTTTTTTTTTAAATGATAAAGGTGTTTACATGTACTTTAATTAGTCTCTTACGACTCTAGAAGTAAATCTCTAGTAGTTATCCCTATTAACATTCGAAGAAAAACTGAAACTCAAAACTTTTTAAATAATACACCTAAGAATTCTTATCAAACTATGCAACAACTCAGAAATAATTATTTATGGCTCGTTTCTTTTGTTATGTACCATTAAGGCACATGTTTAAGATACATATGAAATCTTGATATAGTAAAGTTACATGACATCCTAATATTCAATATACAATATACTCAAAAAGCATGCGCAAGGCATTACGTCATTCACATATATATATTAAAAGAGTGGTGAAGACAAGTTGGCGGCTACAGGTTCAATCAGTGTGACTGAACAAACGTGGATCAACATGTTTTAAATGAAGATTTTGAACATCTTTTTCACATCTCCGTTAAGCCTACAAAACCAAAATGTTATCGCCGCATTAACCCAATTCGACAAATTAAAGCAACCAAGTGCTTCAATAACTTTACTTTAATTCTTTATTTTCCCTTCATTCATAGCTCATACTTTTAGTACTTTATGTTGATTACACTAAGGTTTTTAGAATATTATTAAAAATTAATATTTAATGTAAATTTTTACTTGCTCTTGCATCAAACATAAAGAGGTGAATGCCTTTTCAATTTCTCAAATTCAATCTCGTATTTAGCTTTAACACTTTCAAATTATTAGAGAATAAATTAATAGATGTTTAATTGATGAAATTTTTGATAAGAGGGGCGGGTGGTTAATATCTAGAAAGGACTAAAATTTTGAAAATGATTCAAAGTGGTCCAAAGCGCCACGTCGAATGAGTGGGCCGGGGGCGGCTGAGTGTCATACACTGTTGGGACAGACATGGTGGGATTCTTGGGTACTGCGAAGCAGATTGTGCCTTGTGTGGAATGATTACCTTTTTTTTTCTTTTTTTTCTTTTTTTTTTTAAATTTCATTTTATTTTTATTTGTATTTTCTTTTGGGGATTTGGGCGTGGATTGAAAGATGCGGCTTCAAAAGACTTGTTACGTAAATGTTCTTGCAATTGCATCAACTTTAAAACGTTACTAAATTCACATGATCTAATCTTACAAATATATATATACCGGAAAATGTACGTGTTCCGATGACCACTCTCGACAGCAACACAGTTTCATTGGGACTCTTGATATATAGGCCAGCGCCAGACCATCATTGCTTTGACACAGCATGTCTTGACTCGTTTTGCCTAACGCCATGATCAGGTGTTGGGGCGGAGCGGAGAAGGCGTCGGAGTTCACTTGTACTTGCGGTGTAACCTTCTTGTCGGGGAAGAGATCAATCTCCTACGGTTTTCCAGAACAACACCACCACCCACAGATGATTTGTTAAGGGAGTTATTTTGATTAAATATCAGTGGATGAGTGAGTTGTTGTTTCCTAGAGAATTGCTATTAAGGAAGGGTAAAGTTAGAGTAACTGTTAGGTCTAGCTCTTATGTAACCTGTGGAAAATGTAACCATAAATGGAAGATCACAATCCCTCTCAAATCTCCAAATATATTTGGATGGACCACAGAGAGAAACAGAAACATCCAAGATGTTAATGTAATTATGCATTTAGATCACAATCTCAACTGGGATTTTTTCTCTCTCATTATTTTCTCAGAGTTTCCCACTTACCAAGCAGCCCCACAGGAAAAGAAAAAAAAAAGTACACTGCATGAGGGGACAGGATGTGAATGCAGAGAAATCAGGATCGTTGAAGAGAAGGGAAGGGAAAAATCTGAGCAACAAAAATATTCGGAGCTGGGGCCTGGGGGGTGTAGCATTTATGTACAGATTGGGGTTGTAATTTGATGCATGAAAAGGTCACTATCATCTGTTAGTTGTGTTGCAGAAAAACAAAAACAAAACACAGTACAAAACAAATAACCTAGACAGACATAACTTGCTTTTATGTCTGTGACATGTCTGCCCCTCCAAAACTACCCACCTTCTCAATCCTATCCTATGCTATTTTATCATCACTATATTTTTGTTTTTACTTTCAATAAACAAAAAAACAAAAACCTTCTGTTAAAAGAGAAAGAAAACCAAGTAGTTTTGTTAAAACTCTAACACAGTTAACTATTTTTGAGTGATTAAGTAGTTTAATAGAAACTTTTGGATGAATTAATCAAGAGATTTTGAATTCAAGTTACTCTTCAGATATTAATAAGAGTAACCATTAGAGCTTTTACTCAATTTCTTAAAGGATTAATTGAAATATACATATACACCTATCAAAAGTTCAGGTAATTGACCGCACGAAAACAGTTTTTCCTAAAAAGAGAAAGGCTTCCTGGTTTGAAACCCAAATCTTTTAGCAGCTTGTGGGGGCCTACCTAACTCTATGGCGAAGCATGGGCGGCGGATGGCAATGGAGAATACTTCCTCCTCCTTTTCTCTCTAATTCTTCTCTTTGTAGCAGTGGCAATTACCCTGGTCATTAAAAAAAAAAAAACTTAATGGGGTTCAATATTCAATGTTAAATTTGTATTGCTTATCGTGATGGAATTTGTTTTCTAAAAACGAAACTGATGAGATTATAAGCATGATATTTTTGACGGTCATGAAGAGTTCTTGCTTTGCTCAAAGCCAACATTGTCATTATAATTTTGTACTGTGTAACAATCTGGCAAACAAGAATTGAGAAATCCATTTGTGCATAAAGTTTCTGTTACTTTCCCTAAGAATTTCACCTCATTTACAGTTTTTGTTACTCCGCATTGCAGTAGTGTTTTGAAACACGACCCAACCAATGGAATCGGTTCAACCAAGACTCGAAGCCTTCACCGGGTCGGATTACAAGTTTTCCTATTAATTGAAAACCTTAGAAATTAGGACATCAATCTATAAACAATTGAAGGTTGAAATGTTAAAACTTTTGAAGTGAAATGGTCATGAGTACAATAGTGGCAACGACGTCGATTTCTAGTGAGTATATCGATCAGAAATTGCAAAACAATGTCGTTGGAAAAAACTTGATGTCGTTGACGATTTAGGAGATGAATGGAGGAGGGGTGAGATAAGTTTTGGTTAGGAGGCTAAGGGAAGTGTTTTTGTGATAATGGAGAGTGTTGTCATCGTCGAAAACAAGCCCTATTTTCCGGTGCTAACGGTGATGTTTGAAGTGTTTTTGCAAGATTTCAAACCTATAAGGACTTACAATAGGTTGCAAATATATTTTTGTTACATTTCAAACTTTGGACATCGGTTTGACCGACGGTCAACCTGAGATCCGGCCACTTTGCCGGGTTTCACCTTGGGTTGGGTTTTAAAACATTGACTATAACAATTGAACATTAGTATATAGTTGGCGAACTAGCTAGAAGGACAAGAAATGGAACTATGCGGTACAGGAAAATTGATAATTATGAAACAACCATTGTAGCTTTTACTGTGATCTACTTCATATTTAATGAACTTTTTGCAAAAGCTACACTCTCTGGTAGAACAAATGATGCACATAACATCCATTTTCCTGGGGCAACATGTCGTACGCTCCGCATTTCTACATTAACAGCTACCTCTGACAAGCAATTCTTATGCGCTGGTGTGACAGGAAAAGGAAAAATAGAAACAAACATCAGGGAAAAGAAAGAGATGATAAACAAACTTGGCATTTGTTA